GGGCAGGTGGTCGCGCCTTAGATCATGTTTGGGTTAAAATGAAGGAGGTGGAGGAGTGCAGAAATAGTATCCTCTTTTGGGAGTGGGATTTTTTTTTTTCAGCATTTGAAGTTACGACTATTCAAACGAACTCACACATTAGAAATCGATGTGGGGCGAGAATATGGTAGTCATTTTCACCCAGGTTAATTGCCAAACTAGTTATACATCATAACTCTAAAATTAGTTAATGTAGTGTTTTATAAAATCTTATAGATTTAAATAAATTCACACACCTGAAATTAATGTAAAATAAAATAAACTCATATATTTGAAATTGATATAAAATAGAAAACCCCATAATTAGAGATGAGAGTGAGATTGAATTATGAGAGGTAAGAGTATTGTATTTTATTTTATTATAAAAAAATTAGTAGAAGTTTGTTTTTTATATTGTTAATTTATTGAGAAGTTAATAAAATATTATTTTTTTAATAAATTTATTAATTTTGATATGAATATTTGAATTTAAATAAATCATAAAAAAATTAATCATAAGAAAATTAATTTTAAAATACATTCGAGTTGGTTCAAAATATTCTAATAATTAAAAAAAAATAAAGAAAGGCCTTAGCTTATGATTAGGAGAATTTCTAGAGGTTAATCCCATGCATAGAGATGCTAAATTTATTCACGGTTCTCACATCCCAGATTGAAGGACATTAGAGCAAAAATGGATGAAAGATGGAAGGGAATTGGCTATGTATGTGTAGATGATAATTTTGGCCAATTGAATGAGGATGACAATAACAATGACAACGACAACGTGGGCAACAACTTTGAAAGAAAAAACAAAAGAAATAAACAGAGATTAATAACGAAGGGAATGAATAAAAATCTAAAATTCTTTCATTGAAAGACCAACTAATTACAAAGGATACCACTTGACTTGGCCACCCATATAATAAAGGTTAAATGTTAAATTTTAATCCCTTAATTTTAGGGGTTTCACACAATTTTTATTTTTTATTTTTTGAATTTTTTTCATCATTTTACTCTAAAAAATACATTTTTTTCAACTCTTTATTAATTAATTTGTTAAATTTGTTCATTTATCTATGTTTTTAGTTTTTAACTTATAAATTTAAAGATTAAAAATAAATATATATTATAAATTTAAAAACTAAAAATATACATATATTATAAAAGGAGTCGATCATCTCAATCCTCTTTATTTCCCTTAATCCAAAGATTACCTAATCGACAACAACCTCAATAGTTTAACGGTTATCTCTTTTCATTAGAAGTAAGATATCTTGAATTTGAATCACATGGCATGCAGGTGGGGTGGAATAAGGATTGAAAGATGATTCATTCCAATTGTGAAACCAAGAAAAAAGAAGAACAACAAGAAAAAGAAAGATTACCTAACCAAGTAACCATTGATTGATATGACGTTCAAATCTCAAGATTAACAATTCCCCTTTTCTTAAGAATAGATATTAAAATTATCACTATAATTTTCGTTTAGAAAAAAAATGTAATCATTGATTGGGCAATATGGAGATTAGGACTTAGAGCCAGTGGGTCATCCAATGCATTTTATTCGGTCCATTCCGCAGATTGTAATAGGGTTGGCCCAAGTCCACAAAACATATTTTCATTTTTTAAAAAGTACTAAAGTGCGGCCGCGGACTGCTCAGGAGTCGGAAAAATGGTTAAAATACCATTTTGGTCCCTCAACTTTTTATTTTAATACCAAAATTATCCCTAAATTTAAAAAAATATTAAAATTATCCTTAAACTTTCATTTTTAATATACAAATTGGTCCTCTCGTTAACGGAAGTACTCGGTGGCATGTTCAATTGCCAGAATACCAATACTTATATTTTTTTAAATGACGTGTAAACTAAAATATTTTTTTATTTATGATTTGACATTTTTTATCATTATTTATTTCACAATTTGCTAACCCTAAAAAAAAAAGAAAAAAAAAAAACTGCATCTTTTTCCTCCTTTCCTCTTTTAATCCTTCAACAATTTGCCTCCTCATTTCTCTATCAACCTTCCTCCTTCATTTCCCTACTCATCCTTCATCTTTCTTTTTCTTATTCTTTTTCTTTCTTTTCTCCCTTCTTCTTCCTCAACTAAACCAAGCTAAGTCTTTGAGAACATAGATTTGAGTTTTCTCAAACCCAAATCTAGGTTCTTAAACCAACCCAAATCTGGGTTCTCAAAGACTTAGTTTGCTTATTCCTAGTCACAACCAACTTAGTGTGATGCAATAATGCCGAAAGCTCCTTTTGGTTGCTATCCCCACAACATTGCAACTATGAGAAACCATCATTGATGGAATTCTCCATTTCCTTTAGCATTTCCTTACTTCAACTTCAACTCAATGAGTTGATGATCAAAATTCCCAATGAAAAATCCAAACGTCACCCCTCAAAATTCCATTTGATCCGAAGATCACATATTGGCGAGCACGTCTATGGAATTTTCATAAGCAAATGAAAGAGAAATTGAGGAGAAATTCTAGAACTTTACAGAGAGAAAAAACACAGTCGGGAAAGAGAAAGAAAAGAGACAGGGAGAAAGAGATTTGGGATTAGAGAAAATTGAAAAATTTGTTCGATTATAATTAGAAAATCAACAAAGAAAATAAAAAACAAACCTTGATTTTTGGATTGTTAAAAAAAAGGTTAAAACTCCTTTTTGGTCCCTGAACTATTGTACGGACCCCCGATTTGGTCCCTGAACTAAAAAAATCCTTGATTTGGTCCTTACTATTTACCATTTTTATCCCGATTTGGTCTTTTCGTTAAAATCTCACCGTTATCTCACGACAATTTAATGACATGTCAAACATTTAAGACACGTCAGTTGTATAAATGAATAAATAATGACATGGCAACGTGACATGTCATGTC